GAGTCGCGCGTTTATCGTGTAATTTTAGGGGATCTTTCGTCATGGACCAGCTTTGTGAGAGTATAGATCTATCTTTTAGATTATTCGCACTGTTCCACATATTGTTGATCGCACTGCGCCGACAATATTCGAAACTGTGTTCGCCGATCACAATGGAAGGTGCGATACCGTCTAGGAATTCGTTGTGGGATTTACTTTTGCAAAAAGAAGCTATTTAGGCCGACACTTCTTCATCTTGTCGATGCGCTTGTTGAATCCAGTGTTGGCAAATTCAATCTGGATTTGAACAAAAATTTGACCATTGATTTGTTCGAGGGAAAGCAGTAAGTAACTTAAGAATATAGCCAATTCTCACTAAACCTTACATAGAATATCAGACCTAGTGGTTCTTTGATCTCAGACAGTAGAAAACGAAAAACAAAAATTTGCAAAGAATCGAAAACTTCGTCTTGGCTGTTTGATATCACAAACAACTAGGTGCGCAATTGTAGCTCATGTGGACTACCTATAAAAAATTCTGAGATTTTTTCTCGCAGCATGGGAAAGCAAGAATTTATGTTTTTCAACTTTTGTAAATTTATAAATTTCCCAAAGTGCTAGAATTGTTTTCAGTATATATACTAACGCAATTCAGTTTGAATTCATGAGAACTGATTTCAGGAAGAATAGTGAAGAATTCGTTGCGCAGTGGCGTGACATCACCGGATTTGTTGTTTCAGACAAATTCCGATTCGAAGAAGTTCTAATCGACAGGTATTTTTTCACAAGAAATTCAAAAAGTTCATAGCCATCATTTCTATTCCAGATCCTATCTGACCAACCTGAAAGAAGCCGAAAGCACAGTTGTCATCGAGAAGATTGACAAGGAAAACCTTCTTCCGGTGCTCGACTATGACGGGGAAATTTCTATCTACGACCGCACAGAGCACGTCACTGCTTTACTTCGAACACCTGGAGTATGAGATTTCTTGAGTTTCAATCTTCTCCTCCCAAACAGAAGTTTTCAGATCAATGGCAATGTAGCGCTTCGAGATGGGCAACCGTGTGGTTATGCTCTTTCTTGTAAAAACCGTGTTCTTCTCTGCTATGCAGAAAACGAGGAAGTTTTCAAGTAAGTG